GCCAATCAACAAATTATTTGCTGGCTTATGTCGACTATCAAAAAGTAATTGAGCTTTTAATGGAATTTTAAATAAACACGCAGCACGAAACTGTAAATATTTAAATACATGAATATATATTATTATTTATAGTGGCTAGCAATAATTAAAATGATTGCTAACTATAGCAGTGGCTTACGATGAATTTATGAATTATATTTTTATTTATATATCGAAATTCCAGTTGGAAACGACAACAGCCATTGCAGGGTATTTTTTAGTCGCCTTTCCCACAAGAGCCGCCACGATTCAGTTTCACTTTCAATCAGCTACCGTAACGGGGTTAACACATTTCATAGCCCCTGGGCATAGACTGATTCTGTATGGATTTATTTGGACACTATTATTTCAGCAGCATGTGGAAGTCAATTGACCGCGCCATCCAAAACATAAGCAAAACCTAACTCAAGCCAGGGCCAATAACCGCAAATCTATCAGGTTTTAATAGCCGCAAGCGGGCCAATACAATAGAAACACTTCAAGAGTCGCTTATTAGCACACCTAATTATTAATTTGGCTCTAACAGTCATTGTGTCTGCGCTTTAACCCTTATTATTCACGCTAAACGGGAAAAATTAGACGAGTCATAAAATGCGGGAATGTTGCTGAATAGATACCCTACAGAAAAATACACAAATGAATATATATTTTATAAAAATAAAATTTAATTTTTTCTTTTAAATACCAGAAGCCTTGCTGAAATGTTAGGCAACCTTTGACAGTATTTAAATGTAAACAATGTTCTATAATGGAACACTTGCCCTTCCTTCTTCTCCTCTGCTCTCGCTGGCTTTCACTCCAACTCTGACTTCCTCGCTGTACCACACTTTTCTAACTACATATCTATCGCCCATCCACTATCTACAGCTCAAATTCATCAAGAGAGAGAGTGAGAGAGAGAGAGAGAGAGAGAGAGAGAGAAAAACTGTTCAACCTAATTAGACTTTAACATATTTACTTACAATTTGTAGAGTTAACTTTTTCCGTTTGCCGTCTCGGAGCCAACTAACTTTGTGTGTCTGACTTTTTGTAGGTGTTGAATTTACGTCGCTTTCTTTGTTTTACGATAACAAATTGCACGCGAGCACGCAAATGCCTTTCACAGTGGGTCCTCGTGGTYGGCGGCAAGGATATGATATGATATGTACATAACTATGTTCTTTGAGTGCTGATATTAATTCTTCATAGACACGAAACTCGCTTTTGCCTCGTGCTTAATGAAATAATTAGTGGACTCAGCTCATTTGTTTAACTCTCGCTAAGTCTCGATTCAATATGACAATTCCTATTTGCATAATAATCATTTTTTAATGCTTTCTAGGCTTTGTTTCATTTATTATTATTTTTATAATATTTTCCTCATATTATTCATACATATATTTTTTTTGTTTGCAGTTCAACGCCCACAATTAGTTCCACTTAAATAAATCAAAAGAAATTCTGTAAACATTTGCCCACACAGTGACTGCCACACATACACGTACACACAAACACACACACATACAGTTGTATTTAAAATGAAATCGCTGCTGTTTTTTTTATTTATTTATTTATTATTTTTTTTTTNATATATTAGAATACGTTTCAAATATTCAATTTTAAAATAAATTTCTTACATAATACTTTTCAAGTTAAAGGTAAATTCTCTTGGCAAGGGTATACGAAAATGTCTGTCAAACTAAATTTATTAAAGAACAATTAAACGTCAAATGTTGGCACTTGAAGAGATCTTGCGAGTGTTACCAGCTCTTATAAATGGCATTTTCAAGTGATTATATTATTAAGCGAGCACAAACAACTGTACATAAATGTATATATACATATATATGTGTGTATAGTATATATGATTGTTATATTGTTTGTCGACACGAATCGATTTGGTTATCTTCAAGCAGTTATCAAGTGTTTGACATTGTTTTCTTCTCTTTTTTTTTGTTTTTGTTGTTCATATTCATATGCTATGTTGTTGTTGCTGCTGTTTTTTTCGAATTGATATCGACGGCGTTTTAATTGCACACCAAAAAGCGTCAGCTCTCACACCAGCTTGAATAACTTGGCGCCACATCATCAATCAAATGCGACAAACAAACAAAAAAAAAACCTTAGCTGCCGGATAATTCCAATAGCATAACGGTTCTTCGGTTTCATGCTATGCTAACGAAAACTTTTGGACCAAAAACTGAGCCTATTATCAATTAGAAACTCAATTAACTGAAGCTAATGAGACCCTACAAAATCTTTAGCTGAACGAATGATTAATATGAAAAAGAACTTGACATGATTTATTTTATAAATATTGTTATTTACATTGATGCCATCATTAATTATTATTATGAATGCTCTAAAAGAATTATAATTTTGATTTTGATTATTTCATTGTCATTGTCATAGAAATTACATTTGACTGTTAATTGTATTATTTTCGGGCATCTGCTTAGGCATTTCATCTTCTTTGGATACTTAAGAACACGGATTTCCACTAGTCATCGTCATGCATCATGCCTGAACGATTTGGGTTCGCATCCCTTGTTTATTCTACACTCAAGGTGAATATCTATTGTGAACAACATTTGCCCAAAGTGACAAATTCAATGGCTGACCAAGCCTTGTTATTTACAATATATAATACAAAAAGTGATTAGTTTCCGTTTCTAATTATTCGAATAAGGTAATATAATCGTACAGCTTAGCTAGAAATGTCTGCTTATGTAATTTATTAAGCATAGAAAAAGAATCGGATTACTGAATATCTGCATATCTAGCAAGTATAATCAAATATTCTCTTGCACAACGAAATAATAAACACATTTATACCATGGATATTTATTTATTAGTCTTCTGCTGTTTTTCTAATCCATTATGAATCATATTAATAGCAACTGGCTGATGACAATCGATTTGAAAATCGTGTGATTTATCTCAGTTGTGGAGTAACGTGTTGGTCTATTTTTAATAAAAGCAAGCAGCACGAGCAATAACAAACGACAAGGCGCACCAAATTTATTGTTTATACAAATGTTATCTTTAAATTATCATTAATTTATCATGCAAAATACAAAAATTGCGGTTTCCATGTCCAGAGGTATCTGTCTCAGTGTGTGTGTGTATGTGTGTCTGTGTGCTTGCCTCTATAAATAATATATACTATATATGAGTCGACTAGAATACTCGTTCTGTTAGATATGTGCGAATTACTGCTGTCGTCAGCTTCTCAGTTCAATTGTACGTAGTATAAAACTATCTCTCCCTCTCTGTCTCTGTCTCACCCTCACTCTTTCACTCTGTGTCTAGTTCTGATCTTGATCTTTCATTAACACCAAGATCAAGAGAGAGCGAGCGAGAGAGTGAGCTTAAGGGAATGCCAAATTTGTGCGCCGCGCTTTATCTACTTCCTGCATCTTGGAATTTAATTGTGTTTAGTCTTTGCCTAAAGTTAAGCTTTGATAAAGTTAAGCTAAGCACTTTCCACCGAACTCATAATACACTGCGTATGCGTAATATGTTTTTCATGTTCTCCCCATATTGCACTCTAATTGCAGTTCAGCAGCAAGTTTCAGTTTGACTCGGCTCCTTGGCAAATTTCCCAAAAATGCAATTTCGAACAAAAGCTTGTTGCTTGGACACACACACACACACACAAAACTAAAATCACAACGCTAAGATACACACACACACACACACACATAGACTCACACACACATCCACTCATACTCATATGTGCATATAGATATCGTGCAGTAAAAGTCGAACGAGTTTTGTACTTTGCGCATTTTGCACGTGTCTTTCATTATATTACGTTTAAGTGCCCAAACAATTAACACATTTGAAGCAAACGACACAGCCTTCAGTTTCAGAGCAATCAGAGTCTCTGCATAGTTAGGGAGAGAGAGAGAGAGGGAGAGCAGGAGGCAGAGCGCTAAGCTAACTCTGCCTACGAAAACCAGAAGCCATTCTATGGTTAAAAATAATAGCTCACTGTTGTTAGCTAGATAACCTTTTGTTTCTGTAGTGTAAGATTGAAAGGAGTTTAGTTGATTAAATTGATATCAGCTGTAGGCATTCTATTTCGCACCTAGTTTATAGCATTACAATCTGTATTCACATAAAAGAATTCACTTCAAAGAATGTGTGCACCTAAGCGAATACAGATGAAACACCTGTAGAGGTGTAAGCTTGGAACTATAGCCTTAATAGGCAGAAACTCAGGCAGAAAAGTCAAATAATATACTATTCTATATATAGATTTCGAAATAATCAACAATTAAAAATTACTTTGTAAATCGATAGTCTTCAATTCGGCAATTTTGCTGGGAAAACTATTAGCCTACTATACCCAGAAAAATCGTTAATACTAATCATTTTTTCCTTTACATTCCCATACAAAGTCGAATCATAGATTATATCTCTTTCAATTTCCCAAAAGTCTGTTTAAAATTCATATTCAAAATAATAAAATATTTAATTGCTGTGCTTAAAGTGTTTAAACACTTAAAATCGCAACTCAAACGGTTTGTCAACATTTTAAGTCATCAACAATTAAAAAATAATTAATAATAAACAGAATTTACATTTTCATCGGATTTTCCAATAACAATAAGTGCAGCGAAACTGTTTTCTTTATTTTTCATAATTATAAAAGTCAAATGAAAATAATAAAAACTGAAAAATTAAATCATTTTTTTTTTTTATTATTTTTGATTTACACTTACTCGATTTTTGTTGTTGTATATTTTGCTGTATTTTATTTGTGCACTTCGTGTTATTGTTGCTGCGATTGTTGTCGTCGTTGTTGCTGTTGTTTTTGTTGCGCTTGTTATTGTTGTTGCTGCTGCTGCTGCTGTTGCTGATGACGCTGTTGTTGTTGTTGTAGCAGCATATATGTATAACAACAGTTGCTGTTCTTATGGAAAATTCTTGCAATTATTGCACCTGTTTTTCAGGTTGTCTTGATTATTTTACTATTTTCCCAGATGCTATCTTTAAGCCAGTATGAAAATAAATTCTCTTGTTATTTTATCCATAGCTGCAAATCGAAATTAAGAAAAAAAACGGGATGTAAATTCCATTTGCAAAACATCAAATAAAATTAAATAATTTGCAAAAGAATTTCACATACACTGCAGTTAACTAAAGTAAACGAATCGTGTTTTAAAATATCAACTTGACCAACTATCTCGAATGACCCTATGGGAGAGTACAAAAATGCAAGATTATATTTTGATTCGAATTGCAATATTTGATTTAACCTTATTTGCTGCATCATTAAATAAATGTTTCAGTGTTTGCTCGCCCTTTACATGGCCAATAAGCAACAATAATTTGAAGCCATTCGATAATGGTTATGCAAATCAAATATATAAACAATATGAATTGCTTAAAATTAAAATTTGCATATTTCTGCGCGATGGCAACTATTATATTTATTATTTATACATGAACATATATCCTATTGAGTTGATTCAGTTTTCTCAGTCCTTTGATTACTCTCGATCTACCTATCTCTTTCCTTTACCGCTTTGTCTTTGCTTCTCTCTCTCTCTCCCTCTCTTTCTTTCTCACATTCTATTCCATCCTCTTACCCTAGCTTTCTTCCTCCCCAACGTTCGGCGCTTTGCCTTAATAGCTTTTTTCTATTAACAAGTTAGTTACATCAAAATGTTTAACAAGTCCTTGTTTAACCATCCATCCAAATGCTGAAAGTCAACAAGTAAATCCCCAACTTCAAGCGACAGCTCAACTTAAGGATACCCATTACAAGCAAACAATAGAGGGACAGAGTGACTGAAGTCAATTCATTTCATTTAATTCTACGTTTTCCAGCATTGAAATACGCTTTAATACCCTGCATCTGGTTGATGTGCACGACAGGCATCACAGATAAATCCCTCGTACTGCTGGTTAACGAAGTTTTTCCTACAGCCTTCGCTTGGACCTTTCCCTTTGCTTTTCCCTTGCTCTGCATTATGCAATTAAGTAGAGTTTTTATCTGCCGCTGCCGCTGCCGCTGCTGCTGCTCCGCAAATGTGGGCCGCAGTTGCTGAATCAGTCGTTTGTAAAATTCGCTTAAATGTTATACATGGACCCTCTTTTATTTTTGCAGTTGACATCCCATTATCCTGTTGCTTATGTAAGCTGCCAGCAAGGATAATCGGACTTGCTAATTAAGAAGAGGCTAAAAAAAAACTGCGCCGTCAGCACCTGCAACGCGAATAGCTGATAAAAAAAATTATCAAATGGACTGCGAGTCGATAAAGTGCATTTAAATTATGCAGAAAACCCCCAAAAAATAAGGAAGATGAACGGCCAAAATATATTTGATTGAATTATACAAATAATCAGCAATACCGACTGCATAATACTATGTACAGCGAGCAGGGAAACTCAATAGTAGTCAATAAGGAAATGAAATACAAATCAATAACAATAAAATGTTTAAATTTCCGAAAGACTTACAAAGACGAGCTGACAGATATGCATTACGCAACCCCATATACTCGCTTTTAGACCTAAGTGAACGAGTATAAAAGGGCGACGCAAAAGTGCTATCGCTGCAAAAGGACCTGGAAAACTCATGTGAAGGAAAGGAAAGGAAAATTGATACGTCACAAATTTTATTGAAAACTCATTTTATAATTTTTGTTTCGCCTTTTTTCAGCACTTTTGCGTAATAAATTATGAGGTAAAAATCGGCAAAAGAAATTCTATAAATGGAATGGTCAAAGCGTTACAATTAAATTTTATTTAATTCATTTTTTATATATATTTATTTTCCTTTTCAGACTGACGCAGTTAAGGGCAGCTGCAAAGCGGATTAATTGGGCAGCTTCCTCATGCTAAAGCCACAATGTAAATGTATCCACAAGTTGCAGCTTGAAAGGCAAGAGAAGAGTAAAGAGAAAGGAAGGGAGAGAGAGAGAGGGAGTGTGTGTGTGTTGAAGGAGAGTCTGCCAATAAGTTGCACAAACAGCTAAATTATGACAAATGAACAAACACACATGTGAAAGACCCTGTAAATTTAATATGTTTCCTATTTGAAACTGAAAATGATTAAAAGTATAAATTTTAAGATTTTTTCAATCTTATGTAAGAATTTCTTCCAAGATTTTCTTACACAGATCTCTAATATCTCTCATAACCCTTAATCTGAATTCAAATATTTACACGGTATTAAATTGTGAATGGAATCGTATTCCATGTAACTCATTGTTCCATTGAGCTTAGCTAGAAGTATTCATAGAGCATCAAAGGAGACGTAACAATCTACAGTGCACAACATAATCGCTGACCTTTAAATAGTGAAAAGAGCATCTGCGACGGACAGCAGACAGCCGGGACAATGAGCATCGCATCCACTGACAGCAAAGCTAATTAAATATAGTGTAAATGTTGAAATGAAGCAAAGTTGCAGATGGGTCAAATGGCAGCTCAAAGGGAGCCCCAAAAACTGTGCTACAAAAAATACATTTTCAAGTGTAAACTTCGCAAAAAATGTTAATTGCAGAAATTAAATTTGCCTTGCAGAGAAGATTCATCAAACTTATAACGAAATTATAATATTTAGGAATATGTGCAAAGTTATTCAATTTGCAAATAGCTCTAGAGCACAACTATTCCATGTATACATAGATACCTTCTTTGGTTTTAACCCCTCATGCCACGCCCACTTAAATGCTTAACAAACAGGCCATAAAATAAGCGTTTCATAAATTTTGCGTGAAAGAGTGTGTGTGTCCACAAAATTGCAAGGCAAACAGTTGTTAAAACCGATCCAAAGTCGTAAATTCTAAGTGCGTGTGTGAGTGTGTGTGTGTGTGTGGTATCGAAAGGTATGCACATACTCACACACACACTCGATTAATGCTAATAGGACCCGCCCAAAAGATGGCGTCGCCTGAAAACCCTTTTGGACTCTGCCGCCGTCTTTGTGGCGTCGTTGGCCAATCTCCTAACTTATTTGTTTATTAAAGAAAAACACTCAAATTGTTGGCGACACGCCCACGCCGCTCAGCACAGAGGCCAAGTTGTAGCAGCTAATGCCAACAAGGTGGCCAAGGAAAATGCCTCAGGTGATAATCATGATGATGATGATGATGAGGTTGTTGTTGCTGTTCTTGATAATGAGTATACGATTCGATTTGGCTTTAATACGCCAGATGAAAACTTTGTGGGCGAACTTTTGGCTGTTGTTCATAGAAATTCCAAGAAACAGTGGCACACGTGCCATAATATTTGAATATACATGATATAATAAATGAGAGCAGACGAGTCCAATGCTTTAAAAGTACTAAAATACATCATAAAATAAAATACATAAATAATGTGTATAATTCGTTTATTTATTCTGCTATAATTATGTATATTATATAGACAACTATAATTAAAATTATCGTGAATCACGTTGAACTAATTTTCGTATGAAATTTGKCGACAGCATGAGATGAGTGAGAGGGGTAGAGTAGAGAGAGGGGTGAGTAAATTAAAAAAGAAAAAAATGAGAGTGGGAGAGAGAGAGAGAGAGATTTAGAAAGACAGAAAGGTGAGTGAGAGAGGCAATTAATGAAAATAAGAGGGAGATAGGCCAGTTTCCTAGAAAAAATCAGAAAGATTACATTCACAGTCATAATATTTAAGATTCCAATAAAAACCATATAAAAATTACTAACAAAACTTCATCTAATACAAAATATGACCAACATATGTTTATGGTATACTATCAATTAGCTTAATTTATTTTATTTAAACCCTGTCACGTTTAAAAAAATTATTTACTACATGTTCAATATAAAAACAATAAAGTAAAAAAAAAAATATATATATATATTAAGTAGAGAAAACATTTCATATAAATCTCTTTTGTTGCAATTAATTTAGCATTTTGTTAAATGACTGCAAAGACTACAAAGGGTTTCAGAAGTTAGCTAGTGGCTCTGATTTATGCTTTAGTTAAAATGCTTAAACTTAATTTATACGTTTGCATCAAGTCCCTTGTGCTGTGTGGGAGTTGACAACAGCAGCATTTAAAGCGGGGGCAACAGGATTAAACCTGCCCGGGGCGGGACGTAGCACTGGATGGTGCTTCCGGCCAAATTGACAATGTAGGGAAGAAGAAGGGGAAGGGGAATGGGAAAAGGAAGCGGGGGAAACATTGTCGGTTGGAGTCATTAATGCCCAGCTAAAACAACATAATTTAGTACCAAGCCCCGTGGCCTAAGCATAAACAATGCCCATGATAGTAACAATACAAAGTGGAAGCAGAAGAAGAAGAATGGACAGGAGAAGAGCAACAGCTACAGCAACAACAGCAACAACAGAGCCATAAAACGAATGCAGCCACAGCGACAAAGTGTTGAAAGCTCTTTATATATGAAGAAACTTGGAAATTTGTCTGAACGAACACAAAGAGGGAGATTACTTTTAGCAACTTTGTTGCCTCAAATGGAGCTACCAGATTAGCAACATTGTCGACAGCTGATGGTTTTTTGAATGCTTATCGTGATAGGCATAAAAAAAACTAGTTTCAAATATTTGAATTCGAATGAGCAAAAAAAAAAAAACCAAATATAAAAGAAAGAAGGAGGAAATTAAAAAACATGAATGGGCAAAATATTTAAGGTGGGTTTAACGGATATTATACGAAGATTAACATAAATACTTATTTGTGCATATATGTATATCGATAGTATAATATAAAATTAATTAATTAATGAATTCAAATTGCTAAAAAGAAACTTAAAATTTTATTTTGTATTTATGTAGTTATAAATTATGTATGTCTTTATATAGTCATTATAATACTACTTAAAATTTGCTATTATTATTATTTATTTTATTATTAATATAGGCATACATTTTTATTCTAGTTAACATAATTATCAAAGTGATCATTAATATCATTTAATTATCATTATTATCATCTATAATTTGTATAAAAATTGTATGTTCATCATTAGGGATCATCATTATATTTTCTATATTATTATTCCAATAATCCTTTTGTTTAATAACATTAAACAGGAATATTTT